CTATAGTGGTCCTTTAAGTCCATCTGGAACAGAGTGCCTTGAAATTCCACCTCGTCTCTATTTTGCTAAGTGCTTTTGTATGGTTACCTCCTCTCTAGTTACTCTTCACCATTTGGATTGCTCCAAATTATAATAAGCTGCCATCAGTAGGTGAGTTGTGAAATGTTCTAAAACAGCATGGTCCATTTCCTAATTGCTAATATTTCTAACATGCTCCCCTATTCTTGTTGCAACTATTCTTTTTGTTCTTCCATCTTACTGGAATCCACAAAGGCATTCCAAGTAGTAAATGTCATTTATGCTTGTACATGTGATGAAATCATTTAGTTTAAACACTTATCACTGTATGATATTATTTTCACAACTTATTTGTAGCATTCCAACATGCATAGCATGTTACATTAGTGGAAACCTACTTTTTGGTTTTAAAAATGCTTCTTGTAGGGTTTTTTTTGGTATAGGTTCTTACCAATTTGTTCTTGGTATGTTCGGTAGAATTCTTTCAAGAATTGTATTCCGTTTCAGCATATCCCAATGTATATATAAATACTTTTTCATAATTTCACATTTTCTTTATTATAGTCCAGTGGAAGCTTGTCCATAGATGCACTTGGGAAAGCAACCCACCATTTTTTATGAGGGAAAACAATTTATTCGCAGTAGTTTAGAAACACTAAGAATATTATTTATCTGGTGGGGTAGGTGGTAAGCAAAACAAATTTAGAAAAAAATCAGTGTCTCTTTAATTCTGTAATAGATTTCAGTTCTGCAGCCCCACCATCCCTTATGTGCCCACCCCCCAATTGGTAGCTGTTTGGAGAAGCTTACTTGAGAGCATCCATGCATGCAAAAAAAATGCAGGGTTTGCACATGTCTAGAGTCCTTTAAGAAGGAATTTCAGGAATTTCCATTGAGTTGTCTTTCAGGTAACGGAGACATCCTCCCATGAGTGGATGCATGCTATTCAGGGTCCATCATTGGCTCATAGCCAAGGGGGTAGGGTACAATGTCCACAGAGAGAAACAAGAAGCCATCTTGGACTAGCTCAGGGAGAGTACAGCAGCAGCAGTTCCTGGCCCCTGCCAAATGTAACTTTGTAATAGTATCTTTTTCTCTTCCCCAATAGACCCAGGGACTGCCTGAGGGTTGATAAAGCATGCATATTTACTTAAATATATAACTTATACATTTAATCCAGGCAAGACAAAGTAAGGGGGATATTTGTGACACTGTGCTGCCTGTCACTAATAGTTTTATTACCTCCTACTGCATATACCATCTTCTTTAACGTGTTCAGTCACTCTTCAGCTGAGACCTGAGATAATCATGCAATGGCTAGTTGAAAAGCTGTAAAGCTTCAAACTCCAGGACTGGGACAGTGACTTTTATAACTAATCTTATTTCAAACTGTTTTAATCTGTATTGATTGTTGCTTCTGTTAGCCATGCCAGCTATTTCTTGTCTCCATATTACCACTGTAGATTCATTTTAGTGCTAGCTGCAAAGGTAAGAAGTCTATCAGTATATTGCTGCTTTAACCCTGTGTTCAAAATCTTTGTCTGGAAATTATAGATCTATAACTTTAAATTCTGTGGCTGAAAGGTATTTGAATCGTTATTAAGGGATAATATTCAGGAATTAATTGGGAAGAACATTGCTATTATAAATATTTAGCATGGTTTTATGAACCATAGGTCATTTCAAACAAACCTAATTGCATTCCACCAAGAAGTATGCAGACGTATAAACCAGTTGCTGCAGTTGATCTGTTCAACTTGGATTTTGCCAAGGCATGTGATACAGTTCCTTACAATAGGTTAATGTTCAAACTATAAAAAAGGGACATTAATTCTTGTGATGAAAATATAATTGTTCCTCTTTGTAAATCACTGGTCAGATCACACCTTGAATCTGCTGTGCAATTTTGGGCACCTGTTCTATAGAAGGATGGAATTATGGCGCTAGACAAAGTGCAGAGATGGACAACAAAATTAATAAAATTAATTGAGCATTTTAGTTATGAGGAAAGGTTAACAAATTGAAATATTTTTGGTTGCTTTAAAGGGGATATGATAGTATTATACATGTATATTTTGGGAAAATACAAACCATTGTCTGGAAATAAATTCATTAACAGGGCTACACATAGGGGTCGCGAGGTCACGCATTTAGACTGGAATAAAGGAAATTTATTCTAAGGCAAAGGAAAGGTTTTAATTCTTTAGTAGAGCATATTTCAAACCTTTTCTTTAGTCTGTGCAAGACTTAGTTGGACAAATATGTCAAATTAAAATTCCTGCAGGATTTTGTTCCTGTTTTTTCTTTTGTCTCTTTTTGGATCTTGGATTTTACAGAATCATATGCCTTTTTCTTTCTATGGTGAGAGGAGAAGGTGAAACTGTCACAAAGTATAAGCGCAGTACACATGGGCGTCCGCAGGGGGGGCACTTGCCCCCCCCGTGGATTTTTCAGCTTGTTCTGCTTTTTTCGTGTGAGATTTAGAATGAACTGCAATACTGTGTATGGAGAGAGACAGGGATAGGAAGCTCCAGCATATCCCTGCTTCTCTGCTGATTGAAACCGCAGGGGAACAACACATGCAGGCAACAGAGACAGCCTACAGATCAGGTAAATGGGGGAGGGTTTGAGATAGCCTATAGATTTTTTGGGGGGGCAGCAGTAGCCTATAGATTTTGGGAGCAGCAGCCTATAGATTTGGGGGCATCAGCCTATAGATTTGGGGGGCAGCAGCCTAGATTTTTGGGCAGCAGCCTATAGATTTGGGCAGCAGCCTATAGATTTGGGGGGGGCAGCAGCCTATAGATTGGGCAGCAGCCTATAGATTTTGGGGGCAGCAGCCTATTTGGGGGCAGCAGCCTATAGGCAGCAGCCTATAGATTTTGGGAGGGGGCAGCAGCCTATAGATTTTGGGGGGGGGCAGCAGCCTATAGATTAGGGGAGTGAGGCATGGGGGGGCAGCCTATAGATTAGGGAAGTGAGCATAGGCATGCACAGCCTATTGCATTAGGGTGTGCACCCGAAAGCACAAACACAGGCCATGTGAATATGTATGTGTGTGTGTGTGTATATATATATATATATATATATATATATATATATATCTGTTATATATATGTATACACCACACTGCTGTGTGTGTGTGTGTGAGGGTGCTGTTAGTGTGCTGTGTGTGAGGGTGCTGTTTGTGAGGGAACTGGAAGTGTGCTGTGTGTGTGTGTGTGTGTGTGTGTGAGAAGGTGTTTGTGTGTGCGTGTTTGTTCGGGTCCTGTTAGTGTGTGGGTTTTGTGTGTTTGTGAGGATGCTGTTAGTGTGCTGGGTGTGTGTGGATGTTGTATGTGTGTGGGTGCTGTGTGTGCGAGGGTGATGTATGTGTGTAGGTGCTGTGTGTGCTGTTTGTGTGTGTGCTGTATGTTTGGGTGGAGGTGGGGGCAGACTAGTTAATATCCCAGTCCTGCTGCCTTCCCTGGTGGTTCAGTGGAGAGTGAACTCTAGCCCGGGTTCTCTGCTGCCTCCCTCCATGCTGCTGTGGACCGGTGAGGTAGAACTTTGATCTCCCCACCGGCCCATGGAGGCTTAGACCAGAGCCGCCGCTCGGATAGCGTCGGCTCTGCATGAGCCGACCGGGGAGATCCAGAGATCTCCCCTGCCGGTCTCAATCCATTGGCGTGCCGCGGGGATTAGGGTGTGCCCGCACGCCTATAGAAGTGAGGGATGGGGGAGACAGCCTACATGAAGAGTCAGCAAGGAGCAGGAAGGTAAGGTAAGAAAAGGAGAAGGAACAGAAATGAGCAGGAAGGGACATCAAGGAGCAGAAAGGGGCAGCAAGGAGCTGGAAGGGACAGCAAGGAGCACAAAAGGTAAAGTAGGAGAAGGAGCACAAAGGAACAGAAATGAACAGGAAGGGTCAGCAAGGAGCTGGAAGGTAAGCAGCACAAAGAAGGAGCAGAAAGGGTCAGAAATGAGCTGGAAGGGGCAGAAGGAGCACAAAGGTAAAGTAGGAGAATGAGCAGGAAGGGCCTGCAAGGAGCAGGAAGGGGCAGCAAGGAGCTGAAAGGGACAGCAAGGAGCAGAAAGGGACAGCAAGGAGCACAAAGGTAAAGGAGCAGAAAGAATCAGAAGGAGTACAAAGGTAAAGTATGAGAAAGAGCAGAAAGAGACAGCAAGGAGCACAAAGGTAAAGTAGAAAAGGGAGCAGAAAGGGTCTGCAAGGAGCATAAAGGGAGTGAGAAAGGAGCAGAAGGGTGCAAAATAAGCAGAAAGTAGCAGAAAGGTAAAAGAGCAAAAGGGGCCAAGGATAGAAAACAGTGTCAGAAGAAAAAAAAAGACTGTCAACTGAAGGAGAGGAAAAGGAGATTGGAGCAGGAAGGACAAATGAAGTGAACCCTCCACTTTATTCTGGACACCACATCATAAGTAGAATATAAAAGAATTAAGGTTAAAATAGTCCAAAACTTAGGTGCTCCAATCACCAATGTGAGTCACTTAACACAAAAACCAAATAAAACAGTATACAAAATTGTGAACGGTGAGAGCACACTATATAACTTTACCCTTATTATACTTAAAACTCCATAGGAATCTAAAAGTAAGAAAAAAGAGCATATAGGGTAATAACGAAGCAACTGTAATGTTTAAAATACCATAATATGGTCAAACTCACATGGTCATGAGCCACTTATAAAAGCTGGCTCAGACTAACAGCATATCAGCATATGTAAAAGAAACTCCAAGCTCAATTCACTTTGTGGTCCTTAGTTCAAGTTGTTTCAATCAAATCTGGATGCAAGAAGTGATGAAGTGCAAGAAACTTTTATTCCACGTATATTAAAAAGCTGGATACAAACAAACACTGTTATTATAAAAAAGTCCTCTTAAAAATAAACTTTCGGCATATAGCCTTTTTCAAAAGTCCATCTTTCTTCTTTCTGTCTGGTTTAAATACCTCTTTTTTTGGCGCTCTTTCTGCCGGCTGGGATTCACTTCCTCTTCCGGTTTCCGGTGTTCGGCCGCATCCACGCAATTATTTGGCGTCTGGCCGCATCCTCCTATACTTCCGGCGCCATTCTCAAATGTAACGTCCCCCACGTATGACGTCACGACGTCCTCATCACATTACCGTTGTGACGTTTACGTCAGGGGCGGGGCATAGTGTTCTAAATCAATTTGCCCTCTTTAAAAATGGGTCTCTTAGACGTCCAGGAAGGGCAAAAGCCTCAAATTAACTTAAAATTACAGTGCACACTATATAACTTATGATATAATAATTACACATTTACATATACCAAATATACTTAAAAGAGAAAAAGGGGGGAAAGGGGAAAAAAAAATATATAAATATAAATATAATTTTAAATTGTCAACACATTTATACTTAAAACAAATATCTAAATATATGTAAAAAGGAGATCAACCCAATTGTATACATAATGATGTAAATTTGGACATCATACAAGTATATATATATACACTTGTAACACCATAAATTACATATATATACTAATCAAGAATCTTAAAAAAAAAAAAAAAAAAAAAAGTACATAAGTAGCTGTGATAAGCTTGGACAAGAATAAACATATTACGGGACATTAGAGTAGCCAAACTTAACATATAATATAGAGCAAACATAGTCAAATGCAAGTCTAGGCCAGGATAACAGAAAGAGAGTGCAAATGAGCACTAGCTGACGTGAGGTACATGATAAATCAATCAGACAGGTAAACAGGACAGGAAAGGGTTACAGAACAATCTACTTCTCTACTCCTACTCTTACCTTTTGTGTCACTTTATCCCACTCCCTCTAGCATGTAACCTATAGACACATGACAGGCAGGGCAGGCCCAGATCAACAATGCAACATTAATGTACTGGCAAATAAGAAAGGGTGAGGCTCAACTAAATAGGGAGAAGTTAATCACAAAGTAAGACTAGCTGGGAACAGAAAGAGCTCTCAGTATGGGTGCAGAAGCCTGGAATAGCACCACAGACACTGTGAGGTACTGCACCAGACTGAGCATAAACTGAATTGTGACAGAGGAATTATGATTTCTTTAAGTTAATAACAGTCGGAGTACCTTTCACACTTGTTGGAAATGCCAATACAATCTTTTTGACTGGTAAATCCAACTGATTCATGAATATCCTCTTTTTTAGACACATTCGGAAGCCAGGGGGACATGTCCCATTTTTAGCTTGGGTAGAATATACAGATTAGGATATCTAGGATGATCCTCAAATTAGTAATCGTAAAAAAGCTTCTTAACAATACCATATTTCAAGGCTGCTGACAATGTGAACAAAATCAAAGACTGGAACACTGCAGTCAGGTCAGAAGTTCTGAGTTCATAAGTTGTGCAGTCAGATAATTGTCTATATGCAAAAAGGAAGCTGCGCTCTTGCATATACAGACCAGGTGATCTAAAACCAAGGACTGACAAACCCTTACTTACACTTACAGCTTGACAAAGGCCCCTGTGTGGGCTGAAACATAGCAATTCATGTCCACTTCCAATACATCTGCTTAATGTGATGTCTGGAGTGCCTGGACCATTCCTTTTTTCCTTGACTGAGTCAGTTAATTGTCTGTAAATTTTGGACCTATAGTCAGAATAGTCCATATTGACAATTCCACCACCCTTACCCACTAAGCAGGTTTTGATGGAGATGACAGAAAACAGATCCAATGATCCTTGTCTTTCACTGCAGGAAATGTTAGTGTGTGGGCTCATTTGACTTTTGCTCAGGGTCAGGCTATCCTGGCAGACAATGGTGGATGAATTGTGGCCTATTTTAAAATAGGTTCAAAATTCACAATTATCTTGCTGCACAACTTATGAATTCATGCATTCTGAACTGACTGCAAAGTTTCAGTCTTTGATTTTGTAAATATTATCATCAGCAAGCTGCATGAAAATAACCCCGGGTTACCTGATTGTGTCTGCTAAAGGCCTTCTTGAACTAATTGGGACTTCGTTAAATTCACTTTTTGAAAAAAAGTCTTTAATGGCAATTCCATCATGTGTGAAAAATACTTCAGCTGTCATTGCCAAACTTCAAGAAATCACAATTCCACCCACTGGGGTGATCTTTCAAACAATAGATGTTACTAGTCTTTTCACCATCATAACAGCTAATGAAGGTACTTCTGCTTTGCGATGTACCATTGAGACATTTTCATGGTGTTGATAGGCAATGTGGACTCTTTCAGTTACATGATTAGGTAACAACTTGCCCTGAACAACTTATACACAGTTTGTTGTTCTTTAAAATACAACTTCACCTAGATTACGTTTTTGGATCTCTGTATTATCATCAGTGGTGATAAAATTAGGCTTCTCTCTATACAAAGCTGACAGATCGCAATACTAAATTCAGAGACAATGATAATACATAAGGAACAAAAAGGTTGCATATGAAAAATAAAAGTCAATAAAAAATTACATAACGGGGTCCAAGAAGCTCTTCCAAGTATGTTCCAAGTCGTAAAGCAAAAGAGGATGTTAGAGCAAGGGAAATCCAGGTCAGCAGGAAGACATTAGTTCATAACAGGTAATAAGAGATAATAGTTAATATTGACGAGGAACAACAGCTGTTTGAGCAAATTGAGAAAGTTGCAAATCTGGGTAACACTTTAATTATTGGAGATTTTAATTACCCGGACATAAATTGGGACAGAGGGACTAGTAGCTCAGCAAAGGGAATTAGGTTTTTAAACTTGTTAAATGACACCTTCATGTCACAACTTGTACAAGCACCAACTAGAATGGATGCTTGTCTGGACCTGGTTTTAACAAACAACGTTGATCTTTTGACCAACATTCAAGTAGGTTAGCACTTGGGAAATAGTGATCACAATATAGTGTCCTTTGAAATAAACTCAAAAAAACAAAAGCACATGGGGTATACTAAAACATATAATTTTAAAAAGGCCAATTTCAATAAGTTAAGGGCAGCTTTACAATATATTGATTGGCATAAACTCTTTAGTGAAAAGAACACT